CCCTCATCCAATTCCAACATCTACTTAAAAAGTCAGGAAGGATCCTTGTTGAAACGATAGCTGCAAGATCTAATCAGGTCAAACCGCAAAACACATATTTTAGTAAAACAGGCTTGGCTTACCAAACAGTTTCTTCTTAAATATTCTGTCCTTCAGACTTACAAATTTGTCATTGGTGTCTTCATAAAATAGTGTATGTATTTATCAGTTCATTCAGTAGATCCTTTTTTATGTAAATTTTTTTATAAGTTTGAAAGTCTATCTTCAGTCATTGTGTTGTGCAGGTACATTTTATCCTCTTAAGGCATGAAAAACTCCAATCAAGCACACTAATTTATTAGGTTCTTGGAATATAACTAGTTTCATTAAATGTGTTTAGAAGATTTTCTGATTCCATTGCTATACAGTGGTCATCATTGTAATCAGCCACAATTCATTCAAATAAGGATATAGCTACTCTTCAGAATTGGTGAACAGTTAATGAAATGAGTTTGAATATAGGTAAATGTTACTGTACTATATTTCTTACATCTAGAGTTCCAATTGACTTTGATTACCAGCTTTGCAATACACCACTAAAGAGTTCTGGGGCTATTTTCTTGCGGCATTTTAGAGTAATTACTTTAACCTTTAATTGTGGCTTATTCCCATTTAAATAGTAATTACCACTAAAGAGAGTAAATGAGATAAAGGACTTTTCTTTGATTCACAGGTATATTATTTTGATCACCATTATAATTCAATTACTAGTAAAGCTCTACAAATGTTTGGTTTTGTTTTGCGAATTCAAGGGATCTCTCCTATAATTCAACAAAGATATAACTTTTGATAAATGGTTTTCCCATGAACTTAGAATTTTGACATCACAAAAGTTATGCTCACTATTGTACATGAAATATGATACTGACGGCAATTATAGTAAATTTTCTTTTCTTAGGTCAAAATGCAAATGTTTGTCTGGTATAGTCTTTAATCAATATGTTACAGGTATCAATGCTCAGTTGAAAGACAATCCTAAATAATTTTGGAAATATGTTATTGATAAATGTTTACAGTTTACAAAATGCTATGTTTAACAGGGATCAGTAGGCTTCTAATGGGCAAGATTTTGCTACGTTGTTCAAGAACTTCTTTCAAACTGTCTATACCTCTGGGATTAATAACTGTTATATTTCCAATATCCCCATCAATAACAATGTTGGCACAAATTATTATGTCTCTTAAATCACTCTCATTGATATTTTTGATTGCATAAGTTCTCTTCCAAATAAGATTACCTCTGGACCTGATGGTCTTCGCAATTATCTTTTAATAGTGTTTTTGCACTGCCACCATGCCATTACATACTTTATTTAATAACTCATTATGGTCATCTTTATTTCCTGATGCTTGGAAGGAAAAAATTTGGTGCTTTAAAAAATACAGTTGCAGCTTTGTTGAATCACCAAATTCAAGTGATGAGCTGAACAGTGCATAAAAGCTTTGTGGTGCAATTTCTTTTATTTTCACCTAAAGACCATTAAGATGCCCTGATTCCATTTGATAGAGCACTTGCTCCATCAAAACATTTATCTTGCTATTCTGACTCATGTAATGTTTCAATAATGTTTAAGAATGCCAAAAATAATTTTACCAGTTTTACAATTGAATTAACAGATCTAATACATTGTCATTTCTGGGCAATATCAGTAGAATTATCTACTTCTAAGGAACAAAAACTTGGATTCATCTATTTCATCTTGGAAGCATAGCTTTCTTAGACAGAGTGGTGGATCACATGACCACATACTAGGTGGAGTAATAAATTAAAATAAAATAAAATCAAGTAAGGAAAAATCATCAACAATCTGTCCTCTTTCAATAGTAACATCCAATATACAGGCAGCAAGATTACAAGGGCTGCAGAGTTTTCTTGTATATCAAGAAGGTTTTCACTCCATTATAAAACATTATACAATCTTCACAGGAATAGAACTCTGCTCCCTTTTGCTAATATTGATTGTTGGTGATTTTCTTAAAAGATGCAGGTGTATAGTCAAAATGGGACATATTTCCATTCATTTTCAATGCATCAAGAAGTTCCACAGGGTTCACCGCTATCTCCTCTATTGTAAACCTCTACTGCAGTAACATATGTGAAAATAAACTAACCAATACTAATTTTTTACATGCAATTTGCAGATAACAGGGCTGTGATATCCTTTGGTAAAAATTTAATATGTGCAATTAACTTATTAAAAATTCTTGATGTAAATTTAGTATAACCATAAATAAAATATTACCCAGACAATAATTGGGACTGGGTTAACTGAACAGGGTATTAAAATGCCACACAAGACACAATTGACATTATTTTGCATTAACAAATTGTCATAATATTTACTGAAACTATATATTTATAATATTTAGATATATTTAAGCATAAGTTTATATTTATCTGGCATAAATATCTGAACTCAAGTAAAAACAGATCATGTCACAATAAATAAAACAAAATAAAATCTAAAAATCTCCAATTCATTATTGGATGTATCTCATCAGATACAGCACCCAATAATACAAGATTGTTATGCAGAAAAACAACTTTTGTTAATTGTTTGCTTTATTAGTAAATAATTAAATAGGTGGAATAAACACATAGGTGGAAAAAGCCACAAGCCAACTTGGAATCATTTATTTAAAGAAACAAACCTCTGTATTCCAAAATTATGATTTAAAAGTATGTGACAAAGCTAAATACATGCATTATCTATAATAAGTAAAACATAAGTCAGATATACAATGGTTCTTTTAACAAATTACAAATTGAATTTTTCTTATATAATTTTATAAAATCAGATAGATCGTGCTAATTCGTAGTATTATATGCTATAGGAAAAGTTAATAAACTTTTCTAAAGATAGGAAATCCTATTTTAGAGTTGTTTTCAGTTTTGAATTGTTTAATCTGCAAATCAAATAATCAACCTTATTTGATGGTATTAGATGTTTTTAAATATGTTACAATAAAGGGTCATCAAAGCGAAACTATTAAAGATAGTCTTCAAATGAAAGTTACAATTAATCCCCACGTCAGACCTAAAAACACCATTAATGACAGCGAATACCTACATCCATTATAAGAAACGAGGACAATGTAACAGTTAATCAAGAAAGTTTACTATAATATATATTTTTATTTACTTCACTTACCTTTCGTTTTTCCAAATTCCTAATTTTGTGTTCGATAATAGTAATAGCTTGCCTAAGAGGTGTTAAATTTTGTGCAGAATCTGCTAATGCATTTTCCGGGTTAATTTGCTTGTCAATCTTGACACTAGCCGCTGAGGGCATTTTATCACTAATATTAGAAAAAATCCAAATAATATAAATACCTCTCGATGATTAGAGAGATATACAGGTCGACTTTGTAATTATTTTTACAGTAAATAGTCGAAATGTTACAAAACTATTGACAGCACTTTAGGAATGAGGATCTCCATTGAAAAGCCGACAACTTTATAAAACGGAAACAGCCATTCCCTTTCGCTGATTGGTTTATAAAACGGAAATCATCATATTCAATATGGCCGATTTGGCAATGTTCAATTGGTTAACCTGGTTAATACCATTGAAGTAACATTTCAAAATATATATATTTATAACATTTTTTTTAATATAACAGTTGTTTTATAGCTATATATATCCGATTTATTTTTATATAAATTTAAAGAATTAAAAATTAGAGCCAAATTCAAAAGCAGGACAAAACATGTTATATCAAATATGTTCATAGCGACATCTCTTAAAAAAAACTATAAGTAATCCAATATGTTTTATTGATGAAATCCGTCATAAATTCAGAAAATAAAGAAATTTATAAAATTGCTAAGTAGTTAAATCAAATAATTCTATGAATAAATTTTATTTATAAGCAATTTTTAGTGTGCATAGTAACTTTAAAAAAATATGTGCATGTAATAGCACAGAATAAGAAACAATAATTGTTTCTTATTCTGTGGTAATAGTTTAAGCACAGAATAATTATTTATTCTGTGGGGTAATCTTCCTCAACTGCCAAATGAAATAATTTATTTCTCTTCTAATAATTATGGTCGAAACCATAAAGTAATAACAATGTTGAAGAACAGAAACTGTAGCAGTGTAAAAACAATTGTTTCTATGTTCTTTTGCTATTTTTGGTTGAAAAGAAAAGAAAACATAACAATGTTGAAAATATCAAAAAGGCCAAGGATCATCAAGATCGGTTAACTTTTGATCTTTTTTTGCCCTCCTGAAATCGCAATTTAATAATAGCACCACAGAAAACCCCACGATCCCACCCACCAGGTGGGTGGGGTTCTTTGATCTTTGATAGCATTAACGTTTTGACAAGTAATGTCCTGTTCTATTTCCACATTTTATCTTTTCATTTATATTATAAAGAATAAACAACCAAACTTTTTATTATAAATAGGTGGGTAATATGCATGGTTAAATTCTTTCCTTTAAAACCCATGAAAAGAAGAGATAAAAAACAGTTGGTAATCTTTTCCTGTTTTGTATTTGCATATTCTATTCTGTCATTTGAAGATGTTTTGTGTATATGACATAGGTTACTAACAATGCTACCACCATTAATATACAAATGCAAACATACAGATTTTTTATTTCATGGATTTTAATCATATTTAAAATGGTTAGGGAATCTTTAAATAGAATATATTCGTTTTTAACAAATTTTTGCTGAAATTTATTGAAAAATGCCAAAAAGGTGCAATAGTGATCAAACTTTATTTAAATCTAGACCTACAAAATCTGCTGTATTTAAGAGTTATTTGCCTTAAAACATTTTAGATATCCTAATTTTAGACAGCTACTTTATATATCTTAATGATTTAATATCAAAATAATGGTAATTTTATTGTTAACCTTTTTTATATTTGAAAAATAAAATACAATAAAAAATTAACTTTAGCGCCAAAACCCTACAGTCCAAAAGATGGCGCCTCCCATTGTTAGTGAAAATTGTAAAATGGCGGACCAAAGTTTGGTGAGCTAGTGCATACAAAATTGTTAGAGGAAAACATGTTTAAAATGAAACTTTTGAAGAAAAAACTTTGTAAATAGTTAACGAATTATAAAAACTTAGATATTTTATGCTTTATCGGCAATAGTGACTTATTCATATATAAGATTTCGAGTGTTTTTTGCTTATGAATAGACCTTGTCCACATCTTCTGTAGCCATATTTATGAAATTTATATTGAAAATATTCCTGATTTCTGCAATTTCAAATGAGAAGTAAGTACAACTTTAACTTAAAATAGATTTTATGCACCTCCATTAACATTCCGGTATATTTTAGTACTTTTACGAGATTTTACCATTCAAGTGGCTTTGGGCATAGCGTTGATTTTGTTGATTTCATGTCAGAGGTCAAGATTGATTTAGTTTATTTTGGATATAAGATTGTACATTTTTGGAAAGTTGAATATGTCTTTAATCCCACGTTTATATCCTCAGAAAATAAATAAAAAAGTGTAGTGTTATTTATTTTTTTAAAAGAAAATTGGCTTCACAATAGTTCAAGGTTACTCTGCTATTCTTTTTTGAAGATTGCTTTTATTTCATTATTTCTACCCATTACTACTAATTCTCAAGTTAATTCTGATGTAATTTACTTATAAAGCACAGTATTTTAGCTAAAATGTGACACATGCTTCCCTATCTTCCTAATTAACTAAATACCATCTAATCAATATCTATCAAAATATTTGTTGCCACTTTTTTGATATATATTTTATAATTGGAGATAGCAATACAAGTTCACCTTTTTATAAGCTTAAATTGACAAGTGTATAATAACAATATATTTACATGTTGCTATAAATGGTAAAAGCTGATGGTTATTTTTAATCAAAACAAAACTGTAGATTCTCCAAGTTATACTTAAGTAATGTTTTTATTGTACTTTAAATGGAGCACTCAATTATTTATTTCATATGAAAAATTACATTTTCACATAGAATTATAAGAATTGGGTTTTCTGGTTAACCCAAATTTGTTTTGTTGTTTCCACAATGCTTCCTGTGTGCTCTGGGTATTTTTATTTGATATATTAAATTCTAGGAAAGCAAGATTTTCTCTCTACTTATATTTTCATATTTTTATAAAGTTATCAAACAATAACTGTGTGTTGAAAGGAATTGTCAAACTATTATATATTAATGTCAGATTGATTAAATTAGATTTATGAATTATGAAGCTTATAAGAAGAAGGCTTTTCTCTACTAGAGTTCAATCTAATGAGGTATCTATTTATTCAGGTATATACTACCTATGATAAGGAGCAAATAGGGGGAGCATCAAAATGACAAACAATACATTTTTACTAAAAGTAAACGAAAAAAGGAATCTTGAAATCAGAGAAAAAATGATATTAAAGAATTTGGAAGTAAGGTTTTAAATTATTCAGTGATATTTGTGAAAGTTTAAATTGCTGATTGATAGTTGTAATTTGCTAAATTAAGGTCGATTCAAACACATCAGTCCCGTCACAGTCCAGGTGCTGAACCAGTCCTGTTTGGTCACAGAACTATTAATTATCTGACAACTGGGAAACTGTTCATCAACTGATGAATGTGAATGCTGACTGATGTGTTTGAATCGACCTTAATACATATAAAAACATTTTCTTAAAAAATGAGAATTAAAATGTTCCTTAAAAGATTTTCGTCACATAAGTAGTTTGGAAAAAACATGCCAACAACAGATGTGAAATTACAAAAATTCATTAATAAAAATCTTAGAAAAGAAGAATCTATTGGAGAATTTGAGGAATATACTTTCAGATTCTTAAAAAAAAAGCCATTTGTTGAAAAAGATAATAAATAATATAGAAAACCAAGGATTGGAGGAATAAATGACTTGGAGAATAAATAGAAAATTTGTTGGGTTAAATTGAGAACATATTTAACATAGCTAAAATCAGGAAAACATAAACATTATCAACTCTATTTCAATTTACTTTTTTAATTATTAATTATTTAGATATTTTAATGTGTTTTGGATTTATAATTTCATTTGAATGTTTTTGGACTCCTATATATTTGTATTAGGTCTTCATATTGTTTGAACTTTGGAAATTTATAATCTCAATTTAAAATTTTTATTATCGCTAAAATATATCAAGATTATAATTTTGTTTATCAGAATGATAAAAATGTTCTTTTTTAGATGGGATGGCTAAACAACATGAGTTAACTACCATCAAACATGGATCCAGTGGGGCCATGGTATGCCACTCCCTATAACCGCCTTGCCAGTGTGCAAGCTGGATCTGGAAGTGGAGAATTGCATCACCATTTAGCAACAACGACTGCAGCAGGCGCTCCACCAACCACAACAGCCCAACTCCTGCCTGGTAGTTTTTTGTCACCACCCCCTGTTGGATATGAATCAGTATTTACTCCCCTTTTCCACCATGCAAGTGCCAAACCTGCAGCTCATTATGTATCCCAGGTTACTCAGCAAAGAGCACAAGCTTTGGCCCAAGCAGCTGCTACTAAGCAGTCTGGTGATGGAGAGTTCCATCCTCAAACTCAAGCCTTTTTTGAACAAGGTGCTGCAAGTGCCTGGCAGCAGAGCAGCCCCTTTGGTATTTTACCCCATGAAAGTGTTGTAGCCACTACTACCAGTAAAACTTATGAAAACTTTAATGCTCATTTTGCAGCTGCCCAAAGTATAAATAACCACTTAAATTCTCAAATTGCCAAATCAGGTAACAACAGGGCTCAAAGTCCACAGGTGTCAACACCTTCAACAAAAACAAATGCATCACAAGGCAATCCAAGTAGTTTTTTTCAAGTCCCATCTAGTATATCAGATAATGCATCCAATACAAGTAAGACATTCTCCTCTGCCAATACTTCTAATATACAACAATCTTGTATAGTATCTTCACCTTCCACTACAGTTTCTAAGGAATATAGAGTTCCTCAGCCTCCTGCACGTACTACATTTTTAACTTCTCCTAATGCTTCCCGTACTACTATTGAAAAGGCTTTTGCTTCACCACCTAGTAAACAACAGGCATCACCTGTTCAACAGCAGATTCAAACTAAGGCCCAGACAAAAATTTATTCAGAACTTGGCAGTCAACAAGAAAGACAAAGGTTAGTAAATTTGCTCCTCAAACATGTAGAGGGTTTTAAAACATTTCTGTATTTTTATTAGGCCAAGTAATGAAGAAACACAAAGTCAATCATCTCCCATCAGCTTCTCCATTATGGATGCACCTGGCCGTTTAAACTATACTGGTAGTAATTCATCTGGAAAGAGACCACCTCAGTTCCCGCACAATTATAGACATTACCAGCAACAACAGCAACCACAAGGAAGTTCTAATTCTGAAGAATTTCAGAGGCCTAAAAGTGGCTCAGATTACAACAATTCTAATGGACCTGATTGCAATGTTGTAGTCCCAAGAAGACCTAGTCCACTTCAAGCACATTCCCAGGCATCACCTCTAGGTAATAATTGTTTTTGTAGTTTATTATTATTTATAAACATTTTGTATTACAATATGAAATTTATATAATCTGCTTAAAATAAAGTGTATATTAATGATTTTAGATTATTAATATAAATTTACATGACAATTGAAAATGCAAAGCCAAAAGAGAATATATGAATGAAACTATATTTCTTTTGAATTTTTATTAGTTTGTGCATTAAATTTATCAAATCTATTAAACATTTTTTCTGAAATTGTTTTATAAAGGCTATCATTTATCAAATAGATAATTCTAGTCATCATTCAGTTTAATTTATCTTCTACAACTATATTGCACATCATTCCTAATATTTTTCATTGAATTATTGGTCTAATCTAGATGTTAATTACTTTGAGCAATGCTAAAATGTCTCTTGGTCCATTTAGGTTATGTTTATTCAGAAATATGCTTAGCTTGCTTAAGTTTAGTACAGAATAAATTAAATAAATTAGATACCACCAGTTACCCAATATTGCTTGGTTAGTATGTAATTATTTTAGAGTGGATTGGGTAGTTCTTTAAATCAGTAAGGATGGTTATGTTTTATGGATTATATTATGAAGTATCTAGCATCACTATAATATTAACATATCCATAAACTATAAATTGGGAAATTTTAATTTGATATTTGTTCTATTTGCTATTTGTGTTGATGTGATAGATGTGATTTTCATAGTCATGTGAATAACTAGACTGGTAACAAAAATGTAAGTGACAGATTCTATAGGAATCTAATTGGTTATTTACGAGATGTGTAAATAGCAGTACAAGTCCTGAAAAATCATATACAAGATTGGTCTTAAATTATATTACTATTTAGACATGATAATAAGAACTTGATTAGTTGAGTATATTTGCACTTCTTCTCCTCCCATACTGTTGCCCTGCCAGGCTTCAGATGTAAATTTGTACTTAAAAATGTTAAAATTATAAACTTTGATAAAATTAAAGGCAGATATCGAGCACAATTTTATTAATTAAATCTTGCCCAAGTACTTTCGCTTTTCTAAAGCATCATCAGGGGCATTTTGTCAGTTTTGGGCTATCCAACAAGTGGAACTCGATTATCCGTCAGGGCACCAGACCAAGGGTATGACGGATAATCGAAAAGACGATTAACAGAACTTAAAAAAAATCATAGTATAACTCTCAAATTTTATTTGTATGTTTTGATAATATAAGAGGGATTTATGTTAGTACAGTCGAATCAATAAGATTTAAATTATTCTGAAATCTTTGTTTGTTTTATTGTTACTTCACATTTTGCAACGACTGAATTTCTTAATCGACGTAAAATCGTTAAATCTACCTTATTTGCTTCTTCTGGCCGAGAATACCACTTGATGAATTGTTATACGTGCGATGCAGCTCCTCTAGCTTCGTTACGCAAATCTTTGTGAGTTGTAATAGTATCATCAACATCGCCACCATCAAAGTCGGCTTGTGAATCAGTTTCCTCCGTCTCTGATAGCATTTCAACGATTTCATCGTCTGTCAGCAATCGATAGCCCTTTGCGTCCTCATCATAAATTAACCATTCGTTTATGATAATTTATTCTAGGCTCTTTTCAGCGTTATTTCCCCGAAACATCAGCCCAAGCATCCACAACATTGTCGACTGCGTGTTTTAAATTGTTTGCTTTCCAGCATTCTGGCAAAGAATATTACTCTTCCATAACTAGGTTTTGAATAAATTTTTTCCTGTATCTTCTTTTGAATGTGTTAATGACCGAATGATCCATTGGTTGTATCAATGATGTACTCGCAGGCAGAAAAGAGTACGTGATATTTTTATCGTCACTCCGCAGCATACCGGCTGTAGGATGGACAGGTGCATTGTCCAAAATGAGAATCGTCTTTGGTGGAAATTTTTTTGCAAACAAAATGAATTGATGAATAAGTTTTTACTTATGTTGTCAATATAACTTATGTATGGACCCTGACGGTTAACAGAGGTGACAGTTAATAGAGAGACGGATAATCGAGGTTCCACTGTAATTTTAAACTGTTTGTCCTTGTTTAGTGTAGTGTTTGTATAATTTTATGTTTAATGTTATGTTTATTACATTCTGCGCTTGTTGGATAGCCCAAAACTGATAAAATGCCCCTGATGATGCTTTAGAAAAGCGAAAGTACTTGGTCAAGATTTAATTAATAAAATTGTGCTTGATATCTGCCTTTAATTTTATCAAAGTTCATTTATTCGAGAATTCAACCTTATATCAATTTAAAATTATAAAATAAAACCAAGTTTTTAATGTGCTAAGTCAGTTAAACTCTTTCTCAAAAATTTTCTGGGATGTTACCAAATTTGTATGATCTCTTATTATACTGTTGATCAATAAAACGGAAGAAGCAGTATCATTTTTTCTACATTTTGGTTAATTTCTAGAAGGATGAAAACAATATTCACCAGAAATAAAGTTACTGTATTTTTTTGACTAGAAGATGTATCTCATATTTATAAGTTGAACATTTATAAGTTTTATAAGTATGGCAGTTGAACTTTAATTTGTTGTCTATTCCAATTCCCAAATACTGGACATATTGGGGGAGTTCAATAATATTATTACATATAATTATGTTGATAGTCAGGGAATCTTGGATCATCACCAATCATCTTGGATTCCATGGTTAAATATTATTAGTTGTATGTTAGATGGATTTATAATTAATTTGCATTTATTGGCCCAAGATATTGTGTCATCTACCATCAATCAATAGTAGCGAAGTGAAGCAGTTCATTCTGTGAAGTTTGTATAATCCTTTATACCAAACAGAGTCAAAAGTCTTCTTGCTATCTAAGAAAACTCCAGCAGTCTTTGGTCCTTGTAATCTTGCTACCTGTACATTGGATATTACTATTAAAAGAGAATGGTTTGTTGATCATTTTTCTGAAATCCAAACTAGTGTGCTTTAATGGTGGTTTAATTTTTCATATAATCTTCCTTGGAGAAAAATATATTTTAATCTTTCTTTCAGATTATAATGTTTATTTATTGCTAACATAACTAGTACTAGCAATATTCAGTTCATCTTCACTTTTGGTACTATCACTTAATGTCTCTGTTCTTGTTACTTTTGTCTGAACTATTATTGACACTTCTTAAAAAAATGTTCCATGTTGAGTACTGTCTATAGCATTACTTATTCTACATTTTTTAAATCTCTTTATAATTATCTCTTTTTTTTTTCACAGATTGCCATGTATTTTTAACCCAAGTCAAACTTCTGAAATTGTTTCTTTGTCATTGTCATTTCATACATCCTGTTGTGGTGACATGATTTGGCTTTGCTATCCATTTATTCCACTCTCCTTGAATACAATTTTTAAATGGTTTATTGATAGAGTTGTAAGGGTTGTAATTGACTTGTGAGGCCTCTAGGAATGACCAGTGTTTCTACATTCAATCTTTTTAGAAACTTCTTGGTTGATTCTGTTGTATGCACCTTGAATTGGTCCCATACTAACATCACAGGTTTTTAATAATGCACTTGGATGTGTTGCCCATATCATTTCTAACCTTAATTTCATTCTGGTGTCATTGAATGTGAATAATATTACCACTAGGAATTTCATCTTTTGGTAATGTTTTTCTCTTGAATATTACCATAGGTGGTAGTTTTTTCATTCATTAGCATAATAAGCTAAAACTACAGTGTAGTGAGTTTATTTATAATTTTATGTTTTAATCACTATTGATTAATCAAATTGCAAATATGAATGAGGTACATCTAACTTTTCATGTTCCTTCAAACAGACTGTAGAAAGTGAAAAATGAACAATGGAACAGATTGTGTAGTCAGACTACACAATGGGTCAAATGTAATGTAGCACAGCACAAATTAAAGCTTTTTTATGTACTTTCATTCAATATTGTGTTCTTTTTACCCTAAAATATTGATTTGATATTACAATATTTGATACAATAAAAATAAAATTAATCAAGAAACACCGTTTTTTGCATCTTAAAAGTCCCATAAAAAAATTATTAGCAACAGTTTATGATTGCAAATACTTGGAGGTTACTCAAGGCAATGCCATTTATAACGCTGTTCTGTTTTCAATAATTCACTATAGGATCTAGTTCAAATTTAATATTTGTATAAAACTTGGATTTGAGAATTTTAACCAAGAATTTGAGAAATACTCGTATGTGTACCAAAATTCATTCTAAAACGTCAAAATAAACATATTTTAAAATAAAATTGTGTAAAAATAGTAAATTGTAATAAGTAATAGATAATACTGGTTATTCGCTGATAGGGTTTAATGGATAGTAATGGATAGATAATAAGCCTTTACAAGCTTCAATATATGGAACAAGTGGTTAAATCTATATGAATTGTTGAGTTGAAAAGTTTTATTGATTTTTACCAGAAAACGATCACCTAGTTCTTGAGTTAACTAGAGTTGAAGGTGTCAATATGACTATAAAACTTTTTAATAATACTTGCTTACACATAAGCAAGCTTATAAATAAATTTAAAATTAACGATTATTTGTAGGTCATGCACAAAGTCCGGCTTATCCGATGTACAATAGTCCAATGAACTCAATCTCATCGCCTCAGCAAAGTTCTAGCAATCAAGTAGCTCCTCCGTCGCCACTTGACGTTTCTGTACCTAGGCCTAGCTCTCAAACTAGCAACGTAGCTTACCCTTCTGTTATAACTAGAGCATTAAACCATGAGAAGTCGTTTCCTGAAAGGTATGAACGACCAAACCATAACAACCAGCAGAATCAAAATTGTTGGGATGAAAGACAGGTGAGTACATTAGTAAATAAGTATATAAATTCAACATACAAAAATTTTTTAACAGGCAAATGAAATTCCCATCTTTCTTATTGAAATTTTCTAATATAAATCTTGACTTTAATTTATTGTAACTTACTTTTACACACACACACACACATATTTTTGTTCTATTACATCCTGTGTTCCTGAATTTACTGCTTCTGAATGTTCGTCTGCGGAACAAAAATGTACATGCTAATCAATTTTTTTCTTTTGTAGTCCTTTATTGTCTTTATTACTATTAGCTTTGTTCGCTGAGACAATCCATGACTGGTTTCTGACTGATTCGCACGCGCAGTTGCGTTTTGAGCGTTTGTGGTGTTAAAAATCTGTGACTTTGACAGAAAATTTGATGTTTGCAGAGTTTTGACTGGTTCATGATCAGTTAGAAACAGGTCCATTGGGTTTGTGGATTAAAGTGCGGATTTTTAGTCCTCTCAAGCGCTATAAAAACTGTAAATTGTCAGGTTTTTTGTTTGTGGTCTTTTACAGTGGTCTCGTACAAGAAAACATAACAATAACGAAAATTCCTGTACCTAGAAATACAAGGAAACGTGAACAAGAGGAAAGTCAGTCATTACTGCAGACCATAATATTATATATTTTTTATTATTTTATATGTAGTTACCTTTTTGAATTCAACAGTTATCCACTACTCAAAAACTTAAGTTTAATTTTTAATTGTTTATACAATTTTTGACAATCTTTTAAAATGTTTCTAATTTTTTTTTTTGCCCAATACAGTTACTTGCAGTTTACTGTGTTTGTTGATAAATTGAAGACATTTTAACAATGGATATGTTATTGTAGGCTCCGTTAATAAATAATATTGTTCTAGTTTTCTTAAGTTTATTTAGCGGAAAGAAACACTAATTGTACATAATTCGACATAATAGTTTTCATAACATTCAGATGGCCATAATTCATAATCACAAGTGTCAAGTCTAAACATAAAGTGTGGTTATCTTCTTTTTTTTCAAATTGAGTGACAATCAGATCTGTCAATGGCGCGAAATTCAAATAAGACTACAGTTCGGCCATCCTGACACGTCTGATCGTCCTCGATCAACCTAATATTACAGTATATTAATTTCATAACTAAGATATTTAACATTCATGACTTTCATAAGACATAACATAATGGATATTTGAAATGAACATTTTCCTTTAAAGTTTAAAACATACAGTAATAATAATAATAATTCATAATGAGTTAAATAAACAAATCATAATAATCATAATTCATAATGGTTTAAATAAGCAAGGCATAACATTCATAATAGTTTAAATAAGCACGACATAACATACATAATGGATTGAAGTGTCCATAGGGGTACAAATGGAAATCATAATATCCATAACACACCCTAACTGTCTCGATGTAATGGTACAAGTAATGGATTATAAATAAGCATAAACATAATTGAATAAAAATTAAACATAATTATTTTAACCCTAACTAATAATGAAATTGATTATTTATCATAAGCTCTAATCCTACTACTGTCTATAATTCCCTCATATGGTACTTGTGTTGTTTGGAACCCAACAATATCATTCACAATATACCTATCATTTGGTAGCTCTTTCACAATCTCATAAGGTCCTCTAAATTTTGGTATAAGTTTTTTAGCTACTCCAGGGGTTGTGTCTACGTTGGAAATCATAACATATTGCCCCACCTTAAACTTTTGAGCATCCTTATGCTTCTTGTTATAATACTGTTCATTTACATTTTGTGCCTTAATTATTTGTGCTTCTGCCTTAGTTCGAATCATTTCTAGATCCCGTTCTTCCTTATCAATATCTTGTAATGCTTCTCTTAAATTATCCTAATCTTTCCTATTTGATCTCTTCCAAAAAGTAACTTAGCTGGGGTTTCTCCTGTTGATCTGTTTATTGTATTATTGATGCAGAATTCCACTTCATGTAATGCATTTGGCCAGTTGATTTGTTTTCCATCGGTTATCTTTGCTAGAAGAGGTGTCAATAACCTGTTCATGCGTTCTATTTGCCCATTGGCTCTCGGACAACCACTTGCAATCAGTATGTGTTTGATTGTATACTCCTCCAAAAATTTCTTAAAATCATGAGAGGTAAAACAAGATCCTCTGTCTGAACTGATAACGCTCGGTACACTATAATTGGCAAAATGTTCAGTTAAATATTTAATTACTTCTCCTGTATTTGTTGATTTGCAAGGATAGAACTTAATAAATTTAGTAAACCCATCAACAACTTCAAATATATATTTATTCTTATTAAAAGGAGCTAATGGCCCATAGTGATCAATATGAAGCATTTCAAAAGGTAAATTGCCCTTAGGTATACTATGTAGATATCCTTCTGATTTGCCACTTTTAGGATTGAATTCAATACACTTTAAGCAATTTTGAATATGATTTCCAATCTTAAATTTTAATTTTGGAAACCAATATGTCTTGGAAATAATTTCAAATGTTTTGTCTGTTCCGAAATGACCCAATTCATTATGATAGTGATAGATAACTGCTGACTCCATACTCTCTGGTACATAAAATGCAATGTTATCTTTCAGTTTTCTATATACTAACCCATTTCTTAATTCAAAGAAAGGATGATCTGTCTCCTCAAGTCTTTTTCGAAGATCTGAAATAACTGTATCCTTGGACTGTTTTAAAGCCAAAGTTTGTTCAATAGTATTTCCTTCTAATACCAGTACATAACTCACTCTGCTTAAGGCATCTACATGTTGCATTCTTGTATTTACTCTGTGCTCAATAGAGTAATCATAATTTTGCAATAACAAACACCATCTCATAATCCTTGGAATTATATCCTTTTTACTCATGGTTAAGCGAAAACTGTCACAATCTGTAACTATTTTGAAAGGGATTCCCTGTAGATAAACATGAAACCGTTTAAGTGCATACACAATACTCAAGCATTCAAGTTCGTAGCTATGGTAGCGAGACTCATAGTCAGTTGTTCTCTTGCTAAAGAAAAACACTGGGTGAAATTTGTCATCACTTTGTTTCTGAAGTAAAATTGATCCATAGCCTACTTGGCTTGCATCACAGTGTAGTTCTGTTTCCCTACTCGGATCATAAACTGCTAAAATAGGTTCTGATGTCAGTTTTGACTTCAAATTCTCAAAAGCTTGTAAATGTGTCATTGTAAATTCAAATTTGACATTTTTTCGTAATAGGTCATATAATGGCTTGGCGATGATAGAGAAGTTCTGTATAAAACGTCTAAAATAACTGGCAAGGCCTAAGAATCTATGCACCTGCTTGGTATCTGTAGGAACTGGATACTCTGCAATAGCTTTCACATTATCTTTATTAGGACATATACCATTTTCATTAATCCTGTAACCCAGAAAATCTATTTCTGTTTTCAAAAATGAACATTTATCTAGTCTTAACTCAAGTAAATTCTGGCTAACTAATATTAAAACTTCTCTTAACACTTCTAGATTTTCTTCGATAGTCTGAGTAGCAATTAATATGTCATCAAAATATATTAAAACATTTCCTTGTTGGCACAAATCTTTAAAAATTTTATTAACAAACCTTGCAAAAATAGAGGGACTTGAGCTCAAACCAAAAGGTAATTTAAGAAATTCATACTGACCTGAAGGTGTAACGAATGAAGTATACTTAGTACAACTTTCATCTAAAGGAACATGGTAAAAAGCATTTTTCAAATCCAATTTAGAGAAATATTTCTTATTCTTTAACCTGTCTAAATGATCATCTATTAGCGGCAAGGGAAATTGATCTCTAATAAGATATTTATTTAAAGTACGATAGTCTACACACATTCGATATTCATTTGACTTCTTCTTGGTTAATACTACTGGTGAACAGAAAGGTGAATCACTTTCCCTAATGACATTATTTTCTAATAAATTAGCAAGAATTTCATCCAATGACTTTTTCTCTGCATAAGATAGTCTACGTGGTCTGATACTAAAAGGTTCATTTTTAGTTAAAGTAAGCTGTGCTTTGAAATCACACTGTGGTCTTAATGGTTTATCATAATCAAAGTAATATGACTTCAATAAAGTTTGAACACTAGTAGTTATTTCAAAAGGTAAACAATAATTAATATTCAAGTCTGCATCTAAATTTACCATATCGTTAATAAACAAAACATCTGTAAAAGGAAACTGATAGTCCTCCTCTGTTTGTACACAAGAGTTTTTATTTATTTTAAAAGAACCATTTGAAAAACTTATATTTTCTATGGATTCATTGTTTATAAAATCTCGACCCAAAAGTAGATTCCAACTAAAAGAATCTTTCTCAACAACATAAAATTTTAAATTTACTGATATGTCATCAAAATAACTGTGTCATAAAAAAACCCTAACACTTTTAAAGGAGATTTATTTATACCTGAATAAGATTCAATATTAGTAGAAGAAATAATATCTTCTGCCTTTACAAAATTTTCTGATATCAATGATATTGGACTCCCTGTATCTATTATACCATTTAATGTTATGCTATACTTATCTAGAACCAGGTTTAATACAAAAGGATCCGTTTGGCTCATAGGACGTTCCACTAGACCCATGGCTCCATTACTATCTCGGGTAGTTGAATCTGCAACTTGTTGCACCACTTGCTGGTTTCTATTAGGACAGTCTCTTACCATATGATCTTTGCTTCCACATCTAAAACATGATCCCCTATCACGCTTGGCTTGTCTGCACTCTGTCACTTTGTGTCCGGTACGACCACAATTAAAGCATTTTACAGGAACTGGCATCCGACCCTGTGTTGCTGTATGAGGTTGGTTCTGGCTAGAACTTACCCTATAACTTGATGCTGTAGCAAACCTTTGTCCACTTCCTGATACCTCATCTTTAACAACACTCCCCATTAACTTATATAAATCTTCAGTGCTATTGAGTGTGGATAACATCATTTTGGCTTGATTTTGAAGTAGGCGATCATCAAACCCATCAATCAGATGAATGT